CGAACGCTGCCGAACGCGGAGGCCGATTGTGCCTCTTTGTCGCTCTCGCTTGCACTTCAAGCCTTAAATGGAACGCCTCAGACCGAGATAACGCCGCATGAGTCATGTTTTTTTGTGCGTGCAGCCGGCTCCATCGAATTATAAGACGTTGTCACGTCAATAAATTAGTTGGAGTAATTTTTGCAGTAGGTACTTATACCTACGTAAAACAGTCACACATTTCCCTAAAAAAAAAGTATGACATCATAATAGAAGGTCAGAATTCTACTAAACATAAATATATTAATCCAAGTAATATTTTTTCCTCAAACTGTTCTACATAATCTTGTAAAGCAATCGTCTTGTAAGAAAATTCCGGCAACCACTAAACATTTTAGAATGGTGTTGATGAGATGGACGATATTAATCGCGATTATTTAACTGATAAAGAAGTTTTTTGTTGAAATTCCTGGCGAAGTCGCTTGTCATAGTCTGACGACGGTCATGGTCAATGTCAAGTCGGGAAATTAATGACATTTCGTTCACAAAAAATAGACAAACCCTAAAATGATACAACACTTACTTATTATGTGGTTTCCAAAGAAACGCATTTATTAACTCGCGGATGTGAAGTTTAACACATGCCTTTTGGTGCAATGAACTATTTCAGCAGTACGAGTTTGTTTTTTCAAAGTAAACATTTGTTTAATCGTCAAGCTACATTTAACGCTATAAAATGGCAAAGTTCATCTAAATAGGTATATCGACTTACCTTTTGTTAAGATTTGATTAATGTGAAATGCAATGTAATATAGGCAAAAAAACACATGAAAATTGAAAATTTTCGATCTACGGTATGGTGGATACCTCTGGTATTGTCTAGGATAAAATAGGGAATTTATCTCATTCCTTAAATCATTATTGTCACTACGTTCACTAAAAAATATAAATTATTCCATAAAATATAATTGCCTGCAGTGAAAATAAACACTTAACTCCTAAAATTTCACAAAACCTTTAGAAACGTAAAATACGTTTCGATACCCACCATCATCATTAGGGGTTAAACTAATCTTAAATCTATACTTAATTATATTGTTTCGATCGCTCTCTAAGAATTTTAACTGAAACTAATAAAAACACGAAATATATTTGTCTTTGTGGGAGATCCCTTAGTTTCACCTGTAAGGTAAAGTGAAACGCCTTGGCTACCAGACAGCTGAAAAACTTTATGGTGCAATCGTTTAATAACCACAAAAATCACCTACTCTTCTGGATGCATGCTTCGATTGAACTCTGCTAGGGGTGCAATATAGATCTATTTTTATTTTGATAGTAACTCGAAAAAGTCAATAAGAAATAGACGAAATAAGTTAATAGGACATCTTCTCAGGCATGAAGGGCTAGTAAGAGACGTATTAGAAGCAGAAACAGAAGTTAAGAGGAGTAGAGGTAGATCTAGATTAGATTACTGTTCATAAACACTTAAGGGTGTGGGATGTTCTGATTTTCGGGAAATGCGAAGATTAGCTCAGGACAGGAAAAAGTAGAAGTGTGTGACCAACCAGTCTTAGGACTGACGACCTCATGATGATGATGAATAGCCTGAAAAGATCCAAATTTGGAATAAGACCATTATCCGAGTTTATAAGATTGTCTTTGTTTTTGTAGACGCTTTCGTAAAAGGAAACTGTAATTGATGCTTCTAATTAAATTTAAACAACTGGAGCCAATTTCATAATTCTTTTCAAAAGTGTGGAAAGCTACACTAGGTTTTTCTATGCTATTAAAGATAGGGTGATCTAAGTGCTCTTTAAACCTAACTTTAATTGCCCTAATATTCTGGTCTATATACTGTTAGTCGCAATTTTTACAATTAATACTGTAATTTCCGGTTTTCTCGTACAAATCTATTTTATTTTTTGAATTACCTTACAAAAACTTTGCGAACTGTTTGAAGGGGTAGAAACTGCTGTTAACTCAAATGTATTAAGCTTTTATCTATCCAACGTTATAAAGACATGTGTTAACAACAATTTACTTTCCTTAACATATAAATAAAGCAATATAGTAAATATAAATTCTTATTATTTAAAATCAAAAATAACATATGCAGAGGTATTATTGAATGGTTTTATTTTTACGATTGAATAGTTGATGGCGAATATATTAAAATTATGTTTTCACCTGTAGTATACAACAGTAATCTCTTGCTTTTAGAAAGTACTTTTTGTCATTTTTTTTCTGATAGCTCCTACCAAGACAGTTAGATCACCTGACTATTTTTACACATATTTTGACCTTCTGCAAATACAAAAGTAATTAGAACAAAATTACGCACACTAATACATATATAGGTATATGTAAATTACAATAAAAATAAATGACAGAAATTTTTCAATTTTTAGGTACGCATTTTCTATTTGAAAGAGTTTATTGGTAATAATAATATAGCAGATGCTAACAAGAGGATTTTTAGTAAACAGTATCTATAAGTTACAAAAACACTTTACAAAAACGTCTTTAAGAATTTTTGAATGATTATATTATTAATGAATGTGGTGGATACATAGAATTATATAAATTATGAATGCAACTCAAAGCGTCTTGTCTTCTTAGAATTTAAATACTATATAAATATTAATTTTTGAAATCTGGTACTTTCCTAGTATCAAATTACATAGGTCCTTTTTTCAGCTGATTTTCAGAAAATATCTGCATAGGATCGTCGTTAAAGTAGCAATAAATTATTATAGGGTAAAATCGAATTTCCATAATGTTGCTAAAAATAGAAACATCATTATATTCAGTGAGATCACATATATTAGACCTAATTGTTTTAGTAAACTAGAATTTTTTAGACTGCACCTGCTTCTTCTAATACTATTTCATTGATTTTAAAATAATTGCGTTTTTCCCTTTTTATTAAATTAAATGGTAATACACAGAATAACAAGCTTTTTTACTATACAGGGTGACTAATTTTAAATAAACCTAAATCAAAAAAGTGTTTAAGTATTTTTAAAATGAATGAGGACCTTGAAACAGATCGAATTGTAAGCTTATTTCAAAGTTAAATCGTTTTTTTTTTAACAGAAACCCCTATTTCTGACTATATATTCTAAGAGATTCTAAACAGGTCATTTCAAAGTTAAAATTATCGCTTTTATTTTCAATTTAGAGCTTAAGGTGAAGCTATCGAGTGAAATTTACATATTATTAACATGGATAAAGATAATTAAGTTTTATTCACGTCATAATCTATGAATATTTACAATTTGACAGAAATAGCTTTACCCCTGAAATTTTAACGCGATGGGCATAGCTCATACTGCAGAGCAGACAACCAATTTGGTCCTCGTGCTTTCGTACGCAAACTCACCCCCAAACTAATACCGGAAAACTAATTAAATGCAATAGCTTCACCCTAAGCTATAAATTAAAGAAAAGACAAAAAATTTTATCTTGAAATTATCTTAAAATAACCTTTAATACTTATCATAATACGGCAACGGTATAGCCGAAGAAAGAAATAGGGGTTTTTATTTAAAAAAAAAAGTTAACCCTCAAACAACCTTTAAGGTGGATATAATTGTTATCCCTGGTTATTATAGTGCGTTCGGGAGGAAAGACAAGAAGAGACGAGAAGGGGACTTTTTACCCACCCTAATGTAACCTGCATAATATGACCTAAATGACATTATAATATTACCTAGTGTTTTTGCGTAAAATTTTATTATTAGGCATCCATTTTTGAATTCTGTAATATCGTTTCTTAACATTTTTGAGTAGTGGCTGTAGTACTTACAAACCGAAAATTAATGTTCAAACGATCAGCAATACTTCTTCATTTTTTTAGTTGACCTTGCATTTCGATTAAAACCTCGTACAACTAAAATTGTAAAGCATTAAATCGCAATAAAATTATTCGAAAACAGATTAGTGTATTCTGAAAGAAAAATATATTGGTGACTTATGAAGTATTATAAAAGCATTTTTTGCAAAGGTGTTCCTGTATACTAGCTTTTATCCTGGACTTCGTCCACGTTAAGTTGCTTCTAATAGTTTACAGTGAATGGATGAATTAATAAATAATTTAAAAAATTCTAAATCCTAGATTACTTTTGACATTCTTCTTTTCGTAATATAATATAATTAATGACGAAAAACTGTAGCTGCTGTCATGTCCTCGCCGGGAATCGAACTCTGATCCCTGGCACACTTGCTTTACCACTAAGCTACGAGAAATGACAATAACAATAGCGTCAATACGTATCTAACTACGGGTTCGATTCCCGGCAAGGGCGTGACAGCAGCAGTAATTTTTTCTCATTAATTTGAGGTTATCTATAGTGGTAAAAATTAATTCAAAAGTCACTAATGTATCAAAAGTCACCCTAGAAAAATACTTCTATATGTCCTTTTTAGGAGTTGTTTGCGACATAATAGCATACAAATCATATAAACTTAATAAGACAGTTGTTTTGATATTACTGATACGTACTTCAACTTTATTTATATGTACAGATTTAGTTTCCTACATTTTCATTAATCTTGTTGTAGAAATGAAATTTAAACGAGTATTTGTATAATTCCGCCTCTCACTACATTTTTGATATATTTGACTTATTATGGTAGTTGTACCAATTGATTAAGGCATTTATTAAAATTGACGATTTTTATGTCATAACTAAAATTAACATTTCGACATTTGTTTAACAATTTTAAGCATAAAATTAATAACATTTGCACCTGATATTTTGGTATCGATCGATTTAGAACAGGATATGATTTGTCGATTTTTCAAAAATATTGCCTGTCGATTATTGAAATTTACGACTTCGTAAATGTGAAATAGTTCTCGACATTTGACCTAGAGATTGCCTCCGAATTAATGAAAAAAGATGAAAAAAAAATCAATTGAGAAAACAACAGTAACATCATCATCACCATCGTCACATCAGACTGCTCCACCTCTAAGAAACTGCCATATCCGCAAATTCGGTCGGACGCCAAGATTTTTAAATGTCACCCAAGCAACTACCTTGATGATTGATCCATTATATAAAAGCGTGCAAGCCCCAATACCACCATCAGTACAATTCTTGGACTATTAACAACAGAACAAGGTAAGCGATCTAAATTATTATCCTTTCGCATAATCGTAAGAACCTGAATTTCACGTACTTACGTTACTAATTTCATAATTTTTTAAAATAATCACCAATGTACTTTATAGTGATAATATTATTTAACTTAACCCTCAAATAAGTAATAAGTATTCAATAAGTAAATGCAAATTTTAATTTACCATGATTTCTCGTTTTTATTTCTAAGATATTAGGATATAAAAATGGTAATTTTTAATTTTTAAAAAAGGGAAATTTTGTTATTGCGGTTTTTATTAATTTATCAAGTATCTTCAACAACATTTAACTCAAACCTGAGGCAATACAAACATAAAATTAAAAATATACCTAATTTAATTTTTATTTTATTAAATTTATTTTTATCCTATTTAATTTTTTTTATACTTTCAATTTTTTTATTTTCTAAACATATTTATTTATCTTCAATCTACCATTTATTTTGTTATAATTATTAAGGAAGTAAATTTAATTATAAAAGTATTTCTGCTATCAATTTTTTTATACACTTGGTTTATCTAAGTAATTTAAAATAAAATTAGGTAGAATATATAAAATTACACATAATTTACATAACATGATTGTTACGTTAAAAAGTTTATGCCTTAAAATAATAAACTAGAATTTTATTTATTTCTGTTTTGCTTCGTTTTATATGTTAATTTTAGATCAAGAAATATTGTTACGTTATTATTTCAGTTTTCATATTTTAATGACGTTAGCCATAAAAAATCATCAAATATAATTCTGATTTATAAATTGAATTATGCATCAACACTAAAACTCAAAATTCCACATATCGTATAAACTTTTAAACAGAGAGTTTTAGGTTTTGATTTTATATATATCATATTTTCTAAATCAAAAATTGTAAACATTACTAACCGGAATTAATTGAAAGGTAAATTTCAATTGTTGTTCAAGCATATCCTTACATAGAAACATTAACGGATTTATTAATTATTCATCGCAGCACCTACACCGTTTATGTAATTGTACGCCAGACATGCGTAGGAAATATATGATTGATAGATCAACTGTTTGAATCAGAAACATTGTATTATGCTCTACAAAGTAATGGAGATGTTGAGGTGTAGGTCCTTCTGCTTACATTACATTAATACATTAACACATTAACATCCCATACCTACATGAAATCAAAATCCGTTTGTTTATTTGTATTGTCAGTTACATTCGTCATCAACGTTTTCCATATTTTATTTAAATTAACATAACCAATAGGTAAAATTAATTAGATTTTATTTATTTATTGTTAATTTCTGCATACAACTCTATTTAGAATTTGCATTTTCGTTACAACTAAAGTAACATCTTATGAAATAGGGTGTTTTTTCAATTACTTCTTAAATTTGAAAAAGATTTTTAAAGATGTATGTCTAAATCACTGATCTTTGTGGGTGCGAAACGGGAACGGTGGGTGCGGCAACAAAGAAAAGGTAAAGAACGTTCGAAATGTGGTGTTACTGGTGAATGATGAGGATACCGTGGATAGAAAACATTAGAAATATGAGGAGGTATTAGAAAGAGTAGGAAAATAGAAGAATAAAGAAGAATAGAAGGTTGGTAGACCTTTTCAAGCATGAATGACTAGTTAGACATTAAAATCAAATACAGGAGATAAGGGGTGTGGAAGAAGTGTTAGATTAGATTACTATGGATGTTGTAGTTTTAAGGAAATCCGAAGATTAGCTTAGGATAGGAAGGAATCGAAATATCAAATCAATCATAGGACTGACAACCCTATGATAATGATGATGATGATGATGATAGTGACAGTGACTATTAGCTCATTTTGGAATAATTCAAATCCACTTGTAAATTAGTAACCCAATTTAAATGTCATTATTATTACACCCTCTTCACAGCTTTAGCAGATCTCTAATGCCTCATATTGATTATTATACCCATTCAATGCGTTTGTTGTTAATTTGTATTAAATTTGTCCAAATTCAAAAAATTTTTGTCCCTTGCAGTGTTAAAGTGAATTAAACGCTAACTTATTAACAGAAATTTTACACAATTAAGATTTCTGTTTTATTTATGATTTCAGTGGAAGACGCTCAAATAATCAGTCATCATGTTCAAACTGGCTGTATTCTCCGTTCTTGTGGCTGTAGCTATTGCCAAGCCAAGTGTATACTACTCTTCGCCTTTGGCATACTCTGCTCCTGTTGTTGCAGCTCCATCTTCGGTCAGCAGTCATAGTAAAACTGATTACCACAACGAAAACTCCCACAGTGTCGTTGGAGGAGGTGTTGCTGCTGTTGCTGCCGAGCCAGTTGTTGCTTCTGTTGGAGCTGTACCAGGTAAGGAATACAAAAAAAAAATGAAGTGTATATTTGGATTACTGATCTTATTTGTTTAATAAAATACGCGTAATCGTACGGGTTTGTAAGACTTATCCAAACGGAATTGTAAATTTAGTTTTAAATGAGCAATTTATTGTTGATCCGAAGACATGTCAAAAGTACTTTTCTACTGTTTAAATTATTGTGGTTCTGTCGAAGACCAGTATGATTTTGAATAGTAAAATTTAATGTCAATTTTAAAAGAAATATCGATACTGATCTTTTAATTTCAATACTACCCATAAATAGACTTTGCCGATTTTTTAAAAGTTATTAATTTTATGATTTAATTTGAGAAATATAAGGGGCCATTAAAATATTACGTAAGCATAATTTTAGTAATTTTTAACCCTCCCCTTGTCAGCAAAAGTAAGCAAAGCTCATAAACATTGGTATATATTCATTAAAATCTGTTCAGGTTTCTTTATTGTTATTTATGAGTCTAAAAATAAAGAATTTAGAGTTTACATAGGAATTCAGTACCATCATATTTAAATATTATACATATTCTTAATATTTACAAAGTTTGGTAAATTCAAATTAATCGTCTTCAGTCTATGACAGTTGAATCCATGACTTTAAGCTTCCAACATTAAATGATTGCTGCTCAACTTTGTGAAGCGAACAAATTTAATGACATAAATAGTAAATTGGTTGAAATTACTTTGTATCTTCCTAACTTAACCATATAACACCGCAAGAGAAAGAGTAAGCAACATCTATTATTTTGGAATAAACCAAAGATCTACTAAATTTTGTAGAAAAATCAAATATTTAAATAAATAAATATTGCTGGCGTAATCACGATCCAAACATCCCGCCCCCTTGTTATCAAAAATAAGCAAGGCAAAGACCCTCCACCTCCGATTGGTGTTTACGTAATACTTGAATGATCCCTAATGACATGCACTTAATATAAAGTAAGAAAATGGATTTTCGCTGACGATTACTATCAAAAACTTACTATCGCGTTTATATACTTAAAACAAAACTTTCTACTTATAGTTCTTGACTGTTAGCACTTTTTTACACTCTGCTTAGATACTGTAGGTAATATATCGTAGTTTATTCAATTAGTAGTACTAGTAGTAGTAGCACTTTGCATGTTTATGAAATACATATGTACCTACACATTAATTCACGCACACATATAGACGCATACATAATTAGTGCACCAGTTTTAATACCACCTATTCATGTATTTTCTTGTAGTATGTACACATATAAATTTAGTTATTTTTAATAAGTATCTTTTTTCATTATTAATTTGAAATCATTTTTTCGATATTTTATTTATTTACTCATTACAAACTACCTCAAATTAATGAGGGAAAAATTGTTGCTGTTGTCACACCCCCGCCGGGAATCGAACCCGGGACCTTTGGATTTACGCACCAACGTTCTAACCACTAAACTACGAGAGGTGACAACAGCAACCACGACCAACCGACCTACAAGGTTAACGATCCGTCGATTTTTATTAACTTAATTATATATATATATTAAATATATGAAATCCTAACTAACAATGTCATAGGATTTCATCTATTTTCATTTAAAAAATGCCAATGCAGATCCCTCGACTGATCAACAATACCCTATCGAGATCCATTCTGCTCCTTTAGTAGTACCACCACTGTCTTCCTTTAGTAACTACAGCAGGACAGAGTCTAGTAACGAATACTCTCAATCAGAAAGTGTTATTGATCCTGCGGCACCTCTAACTAGTAGTTTAGTTTCAGAACAGCTACCAGTTGTCGAAATCAAAAGTCCAAATTATGTAGCCAATGTTCCTGAAATTGCTGTTTCCTCATCATCATCTCCTGCATCCTTAAATTATTTACCTCCTGTTCCCCAGAACATAGCGGTTCCCAACGTTTACATAAATAATGAAGCAATTGCTAACGCTGTCGAAATAACTCCAGAAACAACTACAGATGAGTCTGTTATTGTCCCTTCCAGTACACCACCCTTGGCAATTGCAGAATTTCTTCCTTCTTTACCAGAAAGTATAGAACAAAGTTCTGAATCAGTTACAGTTAACGAAGTTTCAACTGAAAATTCAGTATTGAAAGAAACTGTTGATATTGTTGAACCCACTGTTACAGTAATCGAAGATTTAGGAATAGAACAAATTACTACAACTGTCAATCCTGTCGTTATTGAAAGTGGTTATGGCAAAACAGCCGAAACTGCTAATGTGACGTTTTCTGCCACCTCTTTTAATACTCCCACCCCCTCGTTAGTGCCAGCCTATGGCACCCAAAACGATTTAGTTGACGTTAACATCAATGTTTCACAATCACCCGTTAATGAGGTTGTCGTCGACTCATTTGTATTAAATGAACCTTTACGTCCACTGCAAAACGTTCAAAGTAAAATCGAAGATATAAATGGGGATTCTTCTTCCTTAGCACATACTACAAAGACAGTTGCCGCTGATTATAGTTTACCCCAAGATGTTCCCTCTGGTTACGTACCCTACGAACCACAATCTTCGAAGTTTCTTTCTGCCTCCTTGATTGAAAACAAGAGTGAACATTCTCATTTCTTAGTACAAACTCCCAAGACAGTTATCACTGATTACAATTTACCACAAGATGGGCCTTCTGTTTACATATCTTATATCAGCGATAACGAGCCACAGAATAATTCTTCTGTTAGCTCTTTCCCTGCCTCTTTTATTGATAGCTACACTGAAATAGAAAAACAGGTAGTCCTTCCCTCTAGTGTTACTTTTGATTTGGTATCACGACCACAGTCCTTTATACCTGTTGAAGCAGCTTCTGAACCATCTAAAGTTTTAATTTCGGCGGAATACGTTCCCAGTTCTCCATCAGAGGTTTCACAGTATATAAATATCATATCTTCTACTCCATTACCTGACACTCAAAATGATAAACATATAATTTCGACAATTGACGCTGACGTAAAGAATCTGGAGGAACGTCTCCAACAAACATTTCCTGATGTGGTCTCTGTTGAAGCCGACAACTCAGCAGTAAATATTGTCCCTCCGAGTAAATACATAACTTCGAAAATTGATACCGATGTAAATAATTTAAAGGAAAGTCTGAAACAAACATTTCCTGATGTAGTTTCTGATCAAGTTGACAACTCAGCAGTAAATTTAGTTCCTTCAGTAGTGTCTACAGTTCCTTCCATAATAAGTTCTAGTAAAACTAATTACGGACACGAAGTTTCTCAACATTGGATCGGAACTCCTGCCACACCAGTTCAGTTAGGTGAACCGATCCTTGATTCGTCCCTTATACAATCGCCTGTATCGTTTAAAACATTCAATAGAATTAACTGTACCGATGAAACGCATCAATCTGTAAGTCCTCTCGTTGAAAATGTAGATCTTACGTTACTGTCGCATGATTCTGTACCAGTTTCTATTCCCGTTTCTTCTTTATCAAGTTACAATAAAACAGATTACAGTAACGAAACTTCCTTCACTTTCACTCCCCTCGGTGCCGTGGCTTCAAATGTTGCAGATACATCATTCGGTCCTGCTTCAGGTATAATAAAATTGCAAATTATATTTGCATGACATAAATTGGTGTAGAATTTACTTACAACTACTCCTTTTCATTGAGTGCTTCTAAGCTCACACATTTGGCTACAAAGGATTTATTTCGAAAACCAAACAACTTGTACGTGTAAACACGGTCTAAAATGAAGCTTTTGAAATACAAATTTTAAGAATATCAAGAGGGATAGCAAAGTGTGTTCGATCAAATCAATTATTTGTAAAAAAAAGTCGATGAAAACGATAATATTTTGAGAAAGGGCTGGATTTTGGTGCAGATTGCTTTGGGGCTAAGAGATCTGAATACCTACCACTTTCTGCCGGTAACAACTGTGCCCACAAAAACTGTACTCCTGTTGGGCTATCTCTGCTTTCTGTTTTCCCTATTTGGGCTTTAACATTCCTGCTTCTGTTGGACTAATTTTTATTTTGCATTCCCTTCAGTTGCTTACTCTTCTCCAGTAGAAGTTGCACCTGGCTCTTCAGTAAGTAGCAGTTCTAGAACTGATTATCACCACGAGGCATCCCGTACAGATGTTGGTGCTGGTGCCGTAGCAGTTGATCAACCAGTAGTGGCTGCTTATAGAGCCGCACCAGGTAGTTAGATTACTTTCTCTATCATTTTCACATTTCAAATTCCTCTTTCTTTTTGACTTTCAATTTCCTCTGTTATTTATGAAATTGTAACATATTGAAAGAGTTTTCCAATAGTGGACAATAGCCAATAGTGAGTAGTTTGTAATATCTGGACTCATTATTAATGAAAAATGTATTTGGCTTGCTCCACTATTTAAAGTTCAATCAATGTGAACGATTTCTCTTCTTGGACACCTCGAATTGTTTTTAAACATAAACAATACACTTCAAAAAATTTTATAGAAAACTACTTCAGTTGATTAAACAATTAATTATTGAACCCGAACGACAACTATTGAGTAGTGTTAAATCAACTAATCAGTGAAAATATTCTTCCTAGTTGCATATTCATCTGCGCCGGTGGCGGTTGCAGGTTCCCCTGCTGCGTCAGTAAGTAGCCATACAAAGACTGATTATCACCACGAAAACTCTCAACATGCAGTTGGGGCTGGTGCCCCTGTTGCCGCCGTGAGAGCATCACCAGGTTGGTGTTTATTTCCAAAAGATGATGTAACTTCAAAATTTTCATATTCAGTACATGGTAAAATATAAGGCCACGCAGTGTTTCCCAAAATAGAAAAACTATTTGGAATCTCCGTACCGAAGGTTTTTTCCAAAAATGAAACACAGATACTTGGCTATTTTGAATTAGAAAGCTGTTCATTTTGGAATTTACAACTAAAAGTTTTACTTAGCAGAACACTTCAATTTTTATACGGTTTATTTGTCATTGTTGACTGGAATCAAGTAAAGGAAGCACCAAACGTCAGGCAAAAACAAGAGTATCGGTATGACTAATTTGGTGAACAACTTTTAGTTACGATGTGGCCCTATATTTTGGGCCTTTTAATCTAGAAGATTATTAACGTTATGCCTTTATAAATAACGATTGTAGTTTTCGTAAAATCACAAACAGAAAATATTTAATATTCAAACAGATACAGTGACGTCATATGCAGTCTCAATAAATTACCGACAAAACCTAAGAAACTCCCAAAAAGTGAGTTTATATAATATCCAAATTGTAACAGTTATTACACCATTTTGGTGATATGACGTACATAAGCTGCATCGTCGTTTCAGTTAGATAAGTTGAAATACATACAAATAGTAAGATTTTGTCTAATATTTAAAATACTTCAGTAATAGAATATACCCACCAGGTGGCGATCACTACTCTATGTGGATATTATATAAACTCGCTTTTTACTAGCTTTTTTGGTTTGGTCAGTAATTTATCATGACAGTTTAATGAAATCTAATGAGATCGAAATCGCGATTTACGATAAATTTCTGCCCAAGGACCTAAACGTCCCTATAGAATATTTAACATTATTCTTCTGTTAAACAAACTTCATTTCATCCTCTTATCTAACAACAGTCATTTTTTCCTTTCAATATTGAAATACTAATTACATCTCCAGTGGTCTATTCGGCTGCCCCAGTTGCTTACTCAGCAGCTCCAGCAGCGGTAGCAGCGTCTCCCGCTTCCTCTGTAAGTAGCCACACCAAGACTGATTACCATCATGAAGATTCTCGCCACCAACAACTCGGATCTGGTGCTGCGGTTGCTGCCGTGCGGGCTTCACCAGGTTGGTATCGATAACAATTAAAGGAACGCGGTAATAAACGACTATTTAATGCAGAAACAATTTGCTATCTAATTAACTCCCAAGCTCCCTGCAGAGTTACATGGTCTTCTTGCAATTAATATTTCTTAAAACTAATAATTTTTAGGAAACAAAAATTAAACCAAAAAGGCGAATATAATTACAGAGAGGCTTTCTCAACACATCGATATCCAATTTTGAAAAACATCTCACCTAAAATATACTGTTTTTTATTAAATTTTAGTACATATTGAAAGTACGGTTACCATAATACTATCATAGCTCTGGTTAAATCAATTTAATTTGACAATAATTCTACTTTGTATTTCCATTCTTCGAGCATACTTAATCTTCTTATCCTACACACTAACGTCTAATATGTACATCCTTCAATATATCCAACGTAGGCTGAAAAAAGGATGTTTTGACGCCGTTGTGCTCAAATAAGTACTGAATTATTCAGTTTTTATAAAATCGCATTAGTATAATTAAGTTTAGATATACTTACTTTAATTAGGATTATGATACAACTACGCGCTATATTTTACTGCGATTAACTTTTTGTATTCCCTAATTTACGCTAATCATTTAGTGAAGAAATATTTCAACTTATACACAAAAACAGAAGACATATTTAATAATATTGATAATAAGGTATAAGTTATTGGTATGTATACTCGGTAGTAATGAGTATGCATTTATAATAGTTAATCTAGTTTAGACTAAGCCGATGTATTTTAGCGAGAGAAGTAAACTGTTAAAGGGTGCTAAAATTGATCAAGGGTTATTTTTAAAAGATTTCATCGCTAAGCTCAACTTAGCCTTATTACCGCATTGTTATATCAACACCTGCAGTATTTTGATGTCAACATTGGACCAAGAATAACACTCTAACACTGGAATAAATCCAAAACATTCTTTCCATAATGAGTCAATTTTGTTTGTTTCCACAGTTGCTTACTCTGCACCAGCCGTAGCTTACTCTGCACCAGCTGTCACTTACTCAGCCCCAGCTGTAGCGTACTCTGCCCCAGCCGTAGCATACTCTGCTCCAGCTGTATCTTACTCCAGCCCCGTAGTTGTTCGTAAAGTTGCTGTGGCTGCCCCTTCATATCTGAATGAAGTATCTTACACTCCTTCCGTCTACGCCCGTCGTGTATACTCGTCTCCGGCTGTCGCCTACGCTTCAAGCCCATACGTATCGTACTCGTCTCCGGTAGCATACGCTGCAGGCCCAGCATCTTCCTCATCTTCCAGCATAAGAACCGGTGGCTATCACCATGAAGATCATCAACAAAACGTTTACTAAACGTCTATTAACAACGAATGTGCAGAACGATGACGAATTGGTACACTCCTGCTAAACCGGAAGTGTATATCTTTTAGAATTAGTTGCTCATTAAAAATAAACATTTTTAATGTAACTGCCACTTTATTTGAATTACAAAATATTGTTTCTTATACAGAAAATTAAATGTATCTATAATTTAAAATCGTGAAATAGACTAATGATTATCTGTATACTTTCCTTCTAAATTCATCTACCTATATCAGAACAAAAATGCCTATGTATTGCATAAAGTGCAGTAATCGAACAAAAACAGTGTTTAACTTAAACAATCAGTGAAAATACGTATACAGGATATAATTAAATAGTGGAGTTAGTGAACAATTTATGGTATCTTAAAAATGAACAATAAGAAGTAAATAAGTTCAACTTTTTTCTATTGGACCCCATATTTAACTTGCTGTCATTTAAACGAAACCTTCTTTTTTCCTTTTTTGACGTGACAACGTCTTATAATTCGATGGAGCCGGCTGCACGCACGAAAAAACATGACTCATGCGGCGTTACCTCGCTCTGAGGCGTTCCATTTAAGGCTTGAAGTGCAAGCGAGAGCGCGGAACGAGCGACAAAGAGGCACAATCGGCCTCCGCGTTCGGCAGCGTTCGACATCTGTCTCTCTCCTACTCGAGTGAGCGATGCTTCCGCGTGGACAGCTGCTATACAATAATACATTTCCATTTACCTCCTTCTCTATATCCATACAAAATATCTATCAAACAAATAAAATTAAAATTTTCTTTTGAAAAATGAAACCATTCCATCAGTATGTTCTTATGACGTTGTCACGTTCGACTATCGTCAGTAAACCGACTTTACAGACAACCGATCTTTTTTTTTTTAAAAAATTACTTATCTCATTTTTCATCTGAATTAACTTTTTTAACCGCAACTTAATCGGCGGCGGTCACCTCGATAGGTTTGCATACCAGTTGAAGGCGATATATGTATGTATATGTATCGTAATTGAAAGGTAAAGTATGAATAGTTAGTGATAAAATTTTTTTCCAGTTTACAGAAATACCAATAAACTAGCCTAAATCACTCCTGATAACCTCCCCTTTATGTCTGTAAAGTCCCATCGAAACGGTTTAGCCGTTTCGAAGATTAACACATACAGAAAGACAGACAAAAATAGAATCGTTTTTGTCTTAATAGCATACAAAAAATCATCTAAACTTTAAAAAAGATCAATTGATTAGATATTATAAAAAAAGGCACTCTAATTTCATTTATAGGTACTATAAATGCATAGATATAATTTACTTATTAATAAACTACAATAAGTTTTAATTTAATTTTTGGTAATGTTAAAACATACTGTGCATGTTAAAGAAACCATAAAATATGATTGGTCGAATTGAATTTAATATGACATTGAGCTCATTATATTGTTTATTATGATGGTAATCATCGGAGCATTTACACCATAGGCGAAAGTGAATTATCATCACAGTCATTATTTTTGGAATAAGACGAGGCTCATTACCTGCAGTTTTGAACTTCATGTGATTTGTTTCCTTTAAACGTAGAAGACTTTTTCAAGCTACGTTAGGACTGTAGAGTGGGTGAGCCAAAATTTCGAAACCCACCTTCTGCAGGGTAGCCATCGCCACACGGCTGTTGTGAACAGGCGCGTCATCGTGCAGAAGGAGGACACCTTTGCTCAATTTTCCTCTTATGTTTTCTTTGACTACTTTCTTTAACCGCTCTAGGATTGAACCATAATATTCTCCGGTTAAAGAGACACTGTATAATTTAAGTTGTATAGGCACTAGTAAAAATCTATTTTGTCTGTTTAACTCTTTATTGTTAATAATAATGGGTGAAGTGCGTTGTGGACTGTATGTGTGTCTCGAAAAGAATGCCAACACGATGCGTGTTGCACAGGTAAAAAGCCACCGCCAAGATGGCATACAAAAATCGATGAACCTTGTATATCCCAATCTCCCCACTCAGGGTTACCTCACAAACTCGTTTACAGAAAATATACAGGGTACTTAAACAACTAGACATGTATGACTATAATCCTTAACAGACACCTTTATCTTTATAATCGATCAACAGGATCCCTACAGAAATCCAAAAGATTTCCCCAGTCGGCTGTGATACCTTAAATTTCTTGGGTGGTAGTGTGCCTTTTTTTGTACCACTTGATATAGTCCTGTTTAGACTCAGATTCATAATAATGAACTCAAGTTTCGTACCAGTAACAATTCGAGTCAATACTCTAGATAAGGATCTTCACTACAGAGGTCCACACCCTGTTGTTTTTGGGGCGGAGTGAGAATTCTCGGCACTCATCTTGCGCTGACTTTAGTCATGTCAATTTTAAAAATGATTGTATCTGATACTCCTACCATTTCTGCGAGCTGTTTCTTCTTAAGCAGGGCATCTTTCAGTATTAATTTTTCGACATTTTGAATGATTTCCGGAGTGGTCACCTTGATCGACCGGCCGGACCGTGGGTCATCTTCAAGTGAGTCCCTGATTTGCTCAAAGAGGGTATGCCACTTGTAAACCATGATTTTACTTAAGAAAGAGTCCCCGTAAATGGATGACATTTCATCCAGTATGATTTGAACTGATTTTCCTTGGTTCCTAGGAACTTTATAACAGCGCGGTACTCGATTTTCTCCATATTTCACAATTTGTTCCCGATTAACTTATATAGTCGACAATAGTTCAAAGACTAATAATTTACGATAAAATTTAGTATTTATACTAATAATGAGTTGCTTAATTCGTAATAACTCAAGTAAATACCCTCACTAATGACATACCTACCCATTCCACGAACTTAAAAACGCATCCTCGTAATCAATCACAATATTAACTAATTTAATAGTTTCTTAAAGTATTTCATATACATTTTAATATATATACTTTAGTTCGACGAACCTGTGAAGTGTGTTCTGTCGTTGTTGCTGTTGTCACCTCTCCTATCAGAGCATTGGTGCGTAAAGCATTCCATATGATATTGATATATCATTTATTTTCCAACAATGTCTAGATTCCTGGATTGAATAATTTATTGTTTCAACGAACTGCATGTAGGTTAGCAGTCCAGTTAAAATAATATCCAGTTTTTTGCGAAATACCTTGTTGCATTCCGATAATGTGACGCCCTGTAAAAAGAAACACGTCCAGAGAGTCATGCTTGTATTGGTATACGTAGGTATCAAAGATCCGGGTGAAAGTGGTTGTGGCGCTTGCTAACAACCTCGGTAAAAGTCTTACAAGTTGAGAACTGTTACGTTATAATAACAAAACATTATGACGTTACACAGAAGGAAATCCGTGACTCGATTATTAACACCTATGGTCAACGCGATTACATCGAAAATACTGTATGAGTCACTCAAATAGTTGCGATTTAATTCACCGTTGCCCAAACGTAGTGTAAAGTCACTTTTTTATAGGTATTTTATGTGTATAGTAAAAATATTAGTTCGACATCTCATCAAGACCGGGCTTACCGTTAGTGTCTTCCTGGGCAACGTAAAATATGCCACCCCATTACCCACATTTTACACAAAATGGATAAGGGTTCAGAGTACTTTTTGATTTTCTGCTATAAAAACCACTAATTTTTCTAAACTGGGAATCATACTTTGACCTTTTGAAATCATAGGAAGCTGAAACTTAATAAACTACTCCGAATACTGTAAATCCTATCAAAATCAATTAATCCGTTCGAGAAAAGTTTTTGAAATGACATTCGAATTCCTTGTGAAATCGAGATTTGGTACTCAGGTATATGTTTGTGGTTTTTGATGAGGCAAAAAAAATTCTCAAGCTCTGGGAATTATCTGTCTTGGGCACCAACCCCTAGTGCCCCTAGTGTAAATCCAGCGCTGCCTCTCAAAGACATTTATTCGTTTTAAGTATTGTAAGAAAACCTCTCACAAACTTATTTTTTAGTAATGAGCAACTTAAATAAAGACTTATTACAAAAACACTTTATAACTGTTAATGTGAAAACAATGTGGCAAAATTTATAACTCGAATGAGGGAAAAATTTACATAGGAACTGTGCACGCAAATTGTAAAATTGTTTATTAAAATAATAAAACACGTTTAAAAAAGTTAAAATTTTTTTGATGATGGAGTCGACGAAGTTTTCTTCTAAAGTTAAATCAAATAAAAAGTTAATATGTTCAGTGAAAAGCTGCAATAGCACTTCAGACAGATCTTCACTCTTCACCTACATTAACTACTTTCCAATAAAAACTAACCGTTTTATATATGTAAAAAATATATTCGGAAAATTAGAGAAAAAAGTAAACTAATAGAAGCTTGGATGAAAGCAGTAGGTATCAAAGAAGTGAATTCCGGAATAAAAATTTGTTCATGTCATTTTAATGCACATGATTATATTTCAGCAAGTATTTACCATCAGCCATAACTTTAATATTTAAAACTAGAATCATACTAAAATTATAAAGTCAGAAATTATTTATTCCTGTGTAATTGATTTAACACAATTCTAATGATACGATATAAGTATTTTGAGGTTAAGAACCTATCTGCTGCAATACAACAAAGTTGCAATAATGTGTTTGCAACGTTCTCTTAAATCGGCTTTGCACGTGCAAGTCATTAATATGATATTGCTTAAATCACCCAGAATCACCTCACCAATTATATAACATGAATCACTTTTTAAATCCGAAGTTTGTAAAAAGTAGGCAGTAAACTTGACGGAATTTGAAGGCTAGCTTCCGGATTTGTTATTTCCGAATTTTATAATGTGATTGTCATTAAAAACACGCTCACCTTCAACGAAATTTCCTTTCCGAGGCTTTGTGTCAGCTCAATCACATATTGTGTCAATACTTATCATAAAAATTTGGAAATTGCACGGTACACTATAGGAACTACTATAAATTTTCCCTAATCGGCGCCATGTTTTTAGGCTCCTCCCATTTGACGGATCCCAATAAACTGACTAACAAGTACGGTTTGTGGTTGTTGCTGTTGTCATCTCTCGTAGCTTAGTAGTCAGAGCATTGGTGCTTAAAGCCAAAGGTCCCGGGTTCGATTCCCAGCGAGGGCGTGACAACAGCAACAAATTTTCCGTCATTCACCTGTGGTAATCTATAGTGGGTAAAAAATTGAAAATTAATTTTCACATCAATATTTAATATTAAACACTATTAACATTACAATTAGTAAACAGGTATGTTTCGCTCACTTTCCATGTTGCTAATATTAACATCGTATTGAAGGAAGTGTTAGTAATATAGGGGGAGAAGTGGCATGAAAGAGCCAGTTTACTAAACGGAGCCAAAAAATATAGTTTTTATGAAAAAAATCAGGATTTTTTTTTCTCAAATTATTGTTTATTTATTAAAGTAGGTAATTTCATACAAACAAATTTAAATATAATAATAGGATTAATGAAATATTCATTTAAAAAAAATGTGTCTTTTAGCTCATTCATAACATTTTGGTATTGAAAGAGCCACCGAAAGTTTTAAAAGAGCCGCTCTGCATTAAAAAGTATAATTGTGACAATTATTCAAAATAGTAATCATTGCAGTATTAGGAAAAAGCAAAAGGATATTTCTAACAAATTCTTTTTAAATACAAAATAACATTTTTATAATTTTTTTTATTCTATCGGTCGTTTTAGGTAATTCTAACACACATCTTTATCTTAACATTATTCAGTCATACCTATTTATTAGAGGCGGATTATTTTTCATAAATAACAATCTCTAAAACTAAACAAAATAATAAATATCTTTTATAAATGAAANGTGATCCTACCAGAGCCGGACTAACCCTTATCTATGCTTTCAAATAGGGGACTTTCCGACCACTAAACATTTACTTAATTTTCTTGTTTCAGAAACACCCTGTATATTGAAACGATAAATAAATGCAATTAATAAGTTATATTGTCTATTAAAGTAAGCTAAAATATCTAAAGTAATAAAAAGATAAACGTATCGGTATATAAAAAAGAAAATCTTAATAAGTAAATAGCTGGGTAGAAAAGCATTTAACTAGAAAACATCAGCATGAGAAATGAAATAGCAACTTCAAAAGAAATTAATGATTCCAACGACATGACAATAGATAATATTCTTAATGCGAATACCCTGTGAAAGTAAAAGCAAACAATATGTAATAAATTCGCAATGGTTATTATTTTAGATGTTGTTTAGGATATGCTAACTAAAACGTTCTATTTAACATAACAAATTTTAGTACTGAAAATATAAAGTTGTAGAAAGTAATATTCATTACAATGTGATTTGAGGGGAAAATTCAGAAAAACTTTCTACTTTTTTTAAAAAGGAATATTTACTAAAAGTACTTCCGTTTATTCTTTCATAGCAATAGAAATGGAAATGGAAATGGAAAGAGAATGGAAGAGGTTAGAGTAACAGTCTTCAGTCATCCATCCAGAAGGTTGAGCCAACCCTAGAGCTCCAGGTGGACCATTATTTAACATAATATCTTTGTAGTTCACCCTAGGAAACACAAAAATAGGCGGTAAGAAACCACCAGCAGCATTAATAAAGAACAGAGTTGTCACCAATGTTCCTCGTTCACCTGAGGTAACTTGCCCAATTTGTTTTGAACCTCTTTCGGCTATCACTTTAGGTGGATTGGTGACGGTGCTGCAGCCTGTTTCGTCGGCGTTAAAAATCATATGGGGAAGAAAATTGTGTTTGCGTAAAACAGTGGTCAGTTTCTCAAAAAAGTTGTTTACATTTGTTTTATTAAAACTTGTTGCACGGGATAGAGAAGTGCTTTCAGGTTTTCGCACAGCTAAGTCTTTGTGTCTGCTCATAAACCCTTTGAGCCAATCGTCACTAGCAGTTTCAATTTCCTTCCATTTATCTGGGCAAATATCATCAGCCATGGCATAATCAAATGCTAGCTTCTTAGTTTGCTGCCTAGTTAGGCCATAGCACATTTTAGAAGCCGTCTTTAAATAATCTGCGAGCATATTCTCCTGGTCTCTTGTAAAAATACGCTTATTCCCTATATTAGGACAGTGTTTATAAGATAATTCACCAGAAGCTTTTACTTTTTTAACTATTTTAGCTAAATAAGCCCTCGATATATTTAAGGCAAGTGCAGTTTTGTTTATGGACTGACCTTTCTGCAAAACTTCACTGACTGCTTCTTCGATTGCCTCTTTTTCGGGTCTTTTTCGTTTTTCTGAACCAGGTTTCTCCATAATGTAATTTCTGAAGCAAATAGTTAAATAATATACGAAATAAATTGCATATTCAAACGGGTTATAAAAGAGCCGGCTATTAAAGAGCCAGCTCTTTTGAGGCCCATTAACCCGGCTCTTTCATAACTTATTTTAAAAAAAACTATAAACTTCGAAATAACAACAATATCAAAACTTTTGCGGCTTAGTTTTTACGCAGTTACAAGGCCAAATATATGCAAAAACCCAGTCCACAATCTATGTATCTATATTTGTTTACAGTAAAATACAAAAACACAACTCAAATGGAGCAAAATACTTACTTTTTAGTGTCAAAAACTTTAACTTGATGTACAGGTGTCCGTTGGTTTCGGCGAACTATCAAACGTTTATGGGTGATGGGAAATCAGTGTTGCCACTTAAAAATAATATTACCAACCAAATTCGTTCTTAAGCTACCGAAATAATGCAGGTGGCTCTTTCAAAGCTTGGCTCCTTCATGCCACTTCTCCCCTACTTATCGACACATATACCCGTCAGTCATAGTGTGTTAGAGTAGTAATTTGTTAGTTCGTTTAGAAGACATTCGGGGGGTCATCGGGCCAGTTTAGGGTCCGCTGCTTTGGCTGCAGTTTATTTCAATCAACATAAAGTAAATGCTGGAGCAGTAATTATTCCACTCATAGTCTTTCTATGTTCAATGTCTTAGATTGAACACTCTACCCCCTCCCCCAAGGGCTTGTAGACTTTGAATGTTTGGAAAGCGGTAATGTTAATCTGAAAAGAAATTATAAACACTCATTATATTTTTCTCAAATGACAACAAAAAGTGTCAGTCGTCCAAAAGACATTTACCTATTGTTATTCCAGCTTTTTTCGAAACATTTATGTGACAATGAAACTTTCTCTCTAGGTCAAGAGCCTTATTGATATTTCAGACACAATTGCGTTACGAAAAGTTTTAATCATTCATTCATCTAAGAAATTACTTTTGAATGAATAATGAAGTCAAAAAGATTTATATTCAGAACTTGCAACTGCAAAAGCTAGGAGGAATATAATAATTATGATGAAACTAACTTAAAGCTCACTTATACTGTACACTCTTACTGCAGACTTACGTTTATATATTATATCCCTGCCATTCTTTTTATTATTATTTAGTATTTGATTACGAATTTCTGATATAGAGTAAGTACCAAAAAGAGCCAGTAAAACGTACTTTTTGCTCATAATTTCTTATTTAGATATTTGCAACCTGTCCATAATTTTTCTTAAAAAACGTAATATACTTTTTATTATGTAGCTTTCGTTATACTATGCATTTATGGTTTTTCCTAAAGAACTAATAAAGAGAGCTGAAGCATATATGTGTATTCTCTTGTAGCAATTTTACATTCCTTTCAAATGCGTTATAACTGAGTTGTACTGTAATACTTATTTAAATATCGCATTTTATTTATTTATTTCAAACAATGGCGTTCTATGTCCTTTAATATCCACAATATATTACGTCAGGATAACCCACTTCTTTACAAATGCAGTTATTATGACAATTGTTTACATTAACGAATCAATTAAATAATATACGTCGTTTTATATATTATACAATAATGAATATAAATTACTGATTTAACGCGCACCTACCTGTGATTTTTTATTTATTTTGTTGACATTATTGCGAAAAAGGATATTTTTCAAAAGCGCTGGTTGTTATACGGTATGCCTTTGTATACATTTGGATAATGTCTACTACGTTTTGTACAATCATCTAATATTTCGAGGAATAGGAGCCCACACTACAAAAGTGAACAACACGTAATATTCCGCGTGAACATATATAGCAAAAATTTTGAACATGTTTTCCAACATTTTTTTGTTTCTATTATCAAACATTTCTTAAAGTTAAAAGCACTGTTTTCTCAAACTTCTGGCGAAAATATTCAATAATTCAATAATAAGACAAATCTTACAACTCTATAGGTAACATCAGGATGTAATTATGAAATTATAGGGGTTTGTTTCGTCCATTGAACTGAAACTAAACTAGGTAAATACAATATGTGCGATTTAGGTTGGTACGACATCTTTTCTGTCATGAAGGGCTAATTAAACACATAATAGAAACAGAAACGGGAATTATGAGAGGCAGGGGTAACAAAAATTAGTGCAGTTGCTTTAGAGCAGCGGTTCCCAAATGGTGTTCCGCGGGAACCTAGTGTTCCGAGAGGGGTCACAGGTGTTCCGCGAGATACGAAGATTTTGCCCTAATAATAATATACAAAATTCTGTGAAAAGCAATCGTTCTGTATCTAACTATAAACGAACATCTATTGAAACTCAAAAAGGCCTTGAAAGAATATTTTCAAGAAGAGTCACCCAGTCACAGGATAGCCAACAAAATGTACGTAGCAAGTGATTGAATGCGGCTTTGTAATGCCGTATCTTCCCGCATGCGTGATCCTACCAGAGCCGGACTAACCCTTATCTATGCTTTCAAATAGGGGACTTTCCGACCACTAAACATTTACTTAATTTTCTTGTTTCAGAAACACCCTGTATATTGAAACGATAAATAAATGCAATTAATAAGTTATATTGTCTATTAAAGTAAGCTAAAATATCTAAAGTAATAAAAAGATAAACGTATCGGTATATAAAAAAGAAAATCTTAATAAGTAAATAGCTGGGTAGAAAAGCATTTAACTAGAAAACATCAGCATGAGAAATGAAATAGCAACTTCAAAAGAAATTAATGATTCCAACGACATGACAATAGATAATATTCTTAATGCGAATACCCTGTGAAAGTAAAAGCAAACAATATGTAATAAATTCGCAATGGTTATTATTTTAGATGTTGTTTAGGATATGCTAACTAAAACGTTCTATTTAACATAACAAATTTTAGTACTGAAAATATAAAGTTGTAGAAAGTAATATTCATTACAATGTGATTTGAGGGGAAAATTCAGAAAAACTTTCTACTTTTTTTAAAAAGGAATATTTACTAAAAGTACTTCCGTTTATTCTTTCATAGCAATAGAAATGGAAATGGAAATGGAAAGAGAATGGAAGAGGTTAGAGTATGTAGTCGAAGTACCCACAAAAATATCTAGATTTCGTATATCAGTCCCAAATATGTTTTCATTAATTCTAAAATATAGAGATATGTTATGTTAACTAATTCATCAATTAAATAAATTCATCACTTAAATAAAGTTTAGCCATGCGTATTGTATTCTTTTTAGTGCAAATTGTAGGAGCTTCTCGTATTTTTGAAATAGAAAGTATTCTTAAAAATTATGCATGTTCATGAACAGAAATTTGACGGAAATTTTTTTAATCCGCAAGGGTATCTTCAGATCTGCAAAAATGACAAAAATACAAATAAAACAAACGCAAAACTAGGAAGAATATGTGTAATTGGACAAAAACCATGTATATATGATTGGTATCGATTATTTAATTCAATAATCAAAAGAACAAACAGAATAGCTCAAAACCCCAACGCCAAAACAAGACACTGTAGTTGTCCGAAGCACTTTTCGGTAACAAAGTTACCTTCTTCAAAGACTGAAGTAAACTAAACCTAAAAGAGAACTAATCCTAATTTATACTGATAGTTGTTAAGGTTCAGTGAACATGACCCGGTGCCAACAAGGTAGATGTTCAATGGACCTTAACATCAACATCATAAACGTAATTAAACTAGACTAAATAGCGGAGATCCAGGGATAGGACCGTTGTCATTGTTAAGAACAAAAACATTTATAAAAATAAACAAATTGTTCTTAACAATGACAACGGTCCTATCCCTGGATCTCCACTGTTTAGTCTAGTTTAATTACTTTTGTAATTGTTAAGGTCCATTGAACATCAACCCTGTTGTCATTGAACTATGTTCACTGAACCTTAACAACTATTAGTGTAAATCAGGATTTGTTCCGTTTTAGATTTAGTTCACTTCAGTCCCTGAAGAAGGTAACCTTGTTACCGAAAAGTGCTTCGCACAACTTCAGTGTCGTGTTTTTGCGTTGGGGTTTGAGCTATTTTATTTGTTCTACAACAACCGCCAAAGTTTTTCCAATCTTATATATTCCCATATAATACTTAAAGTCTTGATTGTGAGTATTCGGAAGAACTTCCTGTTTTATAATATAACATATGAATTATGGTAGTGTCATCATCATAAGGTCATGAAAGAATCCACTTCAATTTTACTTAAAACCGTGAGAAGAAGATCCACGACAATTTTCAAGGTGATGGTTGAAGTGAGAAATATGAGTCGAACTAAATAAAGACAGAAGAGATTGAAAGATTATTTGTGGAATTTACCTATAAATGATCTAAGGAAAGCACAGAAAAACCGGACCAGAGCAGACGAACTCGTAATCGAATTGGTGTCCTTCCGAATGCCAAGCAATCATCTAAAACTGTAGGTCATGCCGCTCGGTCTAATAACAAAAAGCTTAATGCACTCCATATACTTGAACTTGTCAATTTTTTTTAGATCATTCACCCTTATTATCTCTGCACATCCTATTTGCACCGTTTTTCCTGCACATGCCTAAATAAAGATGGATTTTGCATCCATGTATCTGTAGCCGAGTTGATTTGACATTCTTTTAATTGCTCCTGGTTCAGTTATAACTCCCTTAAAGCCTCTTCCTTTTCTTCGTCCTATCTATTTTTTATACCAATCTTTAAGATTATCTTTCCATATTTCAAATATCTTTCTCTATGTGTCCTTTCGTATATCTCCCTTATCCCATCTCATATTTAACTACTCTTTTTCTTAATTCCTCTGTCATATTTCCACTATTTAATTCTCTCCTAATCAAATAATTCACTTCAATTTTATTTAAAACCTTGAGAAGAAGATCCAGGACAATTTTCAAGGTGATGGTTGAGGTGAAAAAAATGAGCCGGATTAAATAAAGACAGAAGAGAATGAAAGATTATCTGTGGAATTTACCTAAAAATGATCCAAGGAAAGCACAGAAAAACCGGACCAGAGCAGACGAACTCGTAATCGAATTGCTGTCCTCTCCCGAATGCCAAGCAATGATCTAAACCTTTAGGTCATGCCGCTCGATCCCATAACAAAGCATTCATACACTCCAGATACTTGAACTTGTCAATTTTTTTTAGATCATTCACCCTTATTATCTCTGCACATCCTATTTGCATGGTTTTTCCTGCACATGCCTAAATCCATCTTCATCCGTTCATTTAATTGCTCCTGGCTCAGTTTTAACTCCCTTAAAGCCTCTCCCTTCTCTTCATCCTATCTATTTTTTATACCAATCTTTAAGATTATCTTTCCATATTTCAAATATCTTTCTCTATGTGTCCTTTCGTATATCTCCCTTATCCCATCTCATATTTAACTACTCTTTTTCTTAATTCCTCTGTCATATTTCCACTATTTAATTCTCTCCTAATCAAATAATTCACTTCAATTTTATTTAAAACCTTGAGAAGAAGATCCAGGACAATTTTCAAGGTGATGGTTGAGGTGAAAAAAATGAGCCGGATTAAATAAAGACAGAAGAGAATGAAAGATTATCTGTGGAATTTACCTAAAAATGATCCAAGGAAAGCACAGAAAAACCGGACCAGAGCAGACGAACTCGTAATCGAATTGCTGTCCTCTCCCGAATGCCAAGCAATGATCTAAACCTTTAGGTCATGCCGCTCGATCCCATAACAAAGCATTCATACACTCCAGATACTTGAACTTGTCAATTTTTTTTAGATCATTCACCCTTATTATCTCTGCACATCCTATTTGCATGGTTTTTCCTGCACATGCCTAAATCCATCTTCATCCGTTCATTTAATTGCTCCTGGCTCAGTTTTAACTCCCTTAAAGCCTCTCCCTTCTCTTCATCCTATCTATTTTTTATACCAATCTTTAAGATTATCTTTCCATATTTCAAATATCTTTCTCTATGTGTCCTTTCGTATATCTCCCTTATCCCATCTCATATTTAACTACTCTTTTTCTTAATTCCTCTGTCATATTTCCACTATTTAATTCTCTCCTAATCAAATAATTCACTTCAATTTTATTT